TCCGTTCTCTGCTGTTCTGTCTGGGGACGACCTTTTGGCCCCCATTCTGCCCACCTCTCTCGGTGGAAGCGGTGACAATGCAAAAGCCTATAAGCTGTCAATGCTAGATGCAGAAGAGCTACACCTGTTGTCTGCAGTCACTAACAGGTCGCATTATGAGTATTGTTCTGGATGGTACGTTAAGGTACCTGGAAAATGACTGATGCTACCAGGTGTGATATTTTATTCAATTTGTTCTCTTTTAGTTTTCCTCTGTGAAATGGCAGCATGAACTCACCTCTCAAAGAAATGCTATCAGCTTGCCTTATGAGGGGTTGGGGTTTTTGTTTTTGTTACTATTACGTATCAATTGTCTCAGCCCTCTAGAACACAGAGAAAGCAATAGTCCCTTTCCTGAGGAATTTACACTCAAAACTGAACTGACTCTTAAAGTTTAATAATACATAGGACCATATTCATCTCTGGAGTAGCAGCACTAACGCGGGTGCACTGCAGGAATGAGTTTGGCCTAGAAAGCGCTGAGTGATCAGTGAAGCACAAAACTCAAAGCAGGGCAGATTTTTTTTAAGGTATTTTGCTTTGTGACAGGTTGTCACTGAAAGACTTTGCTGCTGACTTGTGGTCAAAGGAAGGATTTGAATGAGAAAAGTGTGGTTGCCTGGCACACACAGACGTTCTTGGTAAAACTAAACAGCCTTTCCATTGCACATTTCCAGTGCAAAACTACCACCCAAATAGGTTTTCCCTCATCACTCAGGTTCTGTGCAAATAACTGAAACAAGCTTGATGTGTAATCTCTGGGGAATTCACAGCTGCAAATGAGGGCAAGATTGAATAATCTCATCTGGGTCAGATTTTAGCAAGTTGTTTGTCTTTTTAAAAGAAATTGTATTACTGTTGCATGTGAGTGACAAGTCAGGGGATGCTCAAATGGATTTGGGACCAGGGTCCGCCAGATCAGGAGATGGGTGCATTTAGCTTTACCAGGGCCATGCAAAATTACCCCAAAACTTTACATACCATCCCACCCCTCAAAATACAATAGGCCTTATTCTGGTCTGAAATAGAGAAATAAAAAGATTTTAATTCAGACAAAATCTTAGTTTAGTTAAACATCCCCACCAAAATAACAACAAATTAGTTTTTTGCCCCCTTCCCATAACTCTTCCCTACAAAGATCGCCTAGCTCCTGCTACCAACTAATTCCTCCATCCAGCATATTGCCTTGTTGTAACATGCTGGAGGAAATTATGGACCATCAATTCACTATGGCTGGCCCAGCCCGGCCACCTTATTAGATCTTGCAAGTCACAACCCATAAGGAACAAAAAGAAGCACAAGGGAAGAGCCAGGCACTGTAGCAAAAGAGACTTGCGTCTCTGAACCAGGAAATTCTTCTCTAGACAACATCTGCTTACCCTGTGCAACTTGCACCTGAGGAACATTATTGCAACAAACAACTTAGGACAATTAAAAATGGACAAAAATGCAGAACAATTCTGTCTTCTAGCCATTCTTGTGTATATTTTAAATGCTGGTGAAACAGTGGCCAAAAGATTAGAGTGACCCATAAGGAACAAAAAGAAGCACAAGGGAAGAGCCAGGCACTGTAGCAAAAGAGACTTGCGTCTCTGAACCAGGAAATTCTTCTCTAGACAACATCTGCTTACCCTGTGCAACTTGCACCTGAGGAACATTATTGCAACAAACAACTTAGTGACCTTAAAGAAAGTTAGATGCATGAACAAGAACACAAACTGCAAGGACACAGACTAGGATAACCTAGGCAAAGGCTAAAGCTGTCCTCTTTCCCCATTCCTGTATCTGAGCTAGAAAAACATAGAGGCAAATTACAATAGTTGTTGCAACAACATATCAATTTTGGTCTCCTAGTCAAGAGGAGAACAGACTTCATAGACTTCAACGACTTCAACTTGGTCCATGTGCCTGCTCTGTGAAATAATTAACACTTCAGTGAAATAAATAACACTAAAATATAACACTATGCAAAGCAGTTTTCTAACAATAAATAAAGACATGCTAGTTCTTTGTCCTTTTAGGACCTTCTCATGTTACTAAATTATCTGGGATCAGCCATATGGATAAACAGGCTGATCAAATTCTACTTGTAATTTTAGAAGTGTTCAGTCCATTGGGCCTTTGGCTGAGTTTTGCTGTGGGGATTATGTATCACTCTGAAGGGTTTGCCAACATATAACAAAATGTTGCAGATTGCAGGTGAAGTGTATCTGTGATTCTCTGAATGTCAAGCTGAGCTGTCTGTGCACACATGCATGTGCATGCATGCACTGGGGAAAATATACTCACCCTTTTTCCTTTCAAATGCATCATCCTACAGTGCAAAGTTTATTTTCCCTGTAAATGGCTGCCATGTAAAAGCATTAGCATTGCTCACTCTGCTGTCCCTAGCATCTCTGTACTCTGGATGCTCTATCCCTTCTGGACAGTGTGGAAGAGGAATCTTTGTTGACTATTTTAGCACCTGGGGTTATGTGGGTCTGATTGCCTTCTGGCAACCCTCCTGCCCGGCATCAGTAGATTCCCAGGGAGAAGGCTGCCTGCAAAGCTTTCATGAAGCTGCATGTATCACAGCTCCATGCTGGTATGTTAAGCTCTCATGCTGTGTGGGTTTTTTTTTGTTAATGTCTTTCAGTGCTACTTGTTGTTACCCCCATCCAGAGGATCTGGCCAAAATGTAACATAGGCCAAAGGGCAAGGCAAATTGCCTCTATAATCCTGCCTATCTTTAAGAAGCTACTACTGTGCAAAACCTGGCTACGGTGCTGATCTGATATTCTTCCAACACCCGGTGTGGGCTGAACTGAACATGTTTCTGACTCATGCTACAGCCCTATTGAAGTCCAGAGCTGTAGCATGATGAGGATAAATGATCAAAACACGGCTCCATTCCATCTCAATTGGCAAGTCCTGGTTGTATTTTAACCGGGTCAGGGCAATGCCAGGTACCCAAGAGTCCAGTGTGCCCATTTTCATACTGTAGGGGGGACCTGAGACAGAATCAATGTTGTGCTGTGATGAGTTAATGCTTAGTACAAACATACAGACCCGGCCAAAGAGTTTGCGGGGCTCAAGGCGGCACGCTGAAAGCAGGGCCCAGCCAGTGGATGCTCTAGTTTAAGTCAAACACAGTTGAGGGGTTACAGAGTCCAGCTCGGGCAGCACAAGTCGCTCGCTGGATATATTCCACAACACCTCTAGATATAAGAAAAATTTCAACTGGCATCTATTTCAGTGTCAGCTGCCGTGCTTTTACTGTTTTACTATGACGTCATTATACACTATCATAAAATTTTTCAATAGAAGCCTCCAGCAGCCAATCTGTCCAAGACCCCCAGCTTGTATTAGAGACCTGGAATTTATTTGACAGAACTGGCGTGTATTAAAACATCTGGCCAGTACTCCCAGCATCTCACAGAATAAAAGACTGGTTTTGAACATAAATGTTTTCGAGGTTACCGAACGATTTTCTGTGACTTGAGATAATTTTCAATATTTCAATAATAATCATAGAAGACAATTACATCAGCTCCGTGTTTCAGTAAGCTGGTGTAAGTTTATCCCAGGTGGATAGCACATCGTGTGCATCCTCCCCATTGCAGTTCACAGTAACGTTATAAGCTGTGTCAAAGAGTATTCTTTATGGACCACTTTTCTTCCTTCTGTGTCCAATGTCATGATTTCTACTTCCTATAAGAAACAGTGACACTTTTTAAATTAAAGTAAAAGAGACCTAGCGCATGATGCGGTCTGAAAAGCTGGAGGGTGTCTATAAATCCAGGCTCAAGTCAGATGTGTCTCTCCACAGATAATGATGGGGATGTGAGATGTGTTACCTTAGACAAGAACCAAAGCTTCCAAACGTCTTTTATGGATAGACATTTCACAGATTTACATTGTAAGCCCTTTGGCTCAGGAATTATCTTGTATTATGTGTAAATACAGTACCCAGTATACTGAGGTCCCTGTTCTAGATTGTAACCATGGGACAATGAGGTCACCTCTTTGTGCAGCAGGAAAATAGGGTTAATAACTTACTCATCTTTGTAGAATGCTTGAGGTCTTTAGATGGAATGCACAAGATAAACATGGGCTATTCCAGTGAGGATAAAAATTGGAAAAATAGGCAAAATGCATCTAATTGTAATTTTTAACCATGTCTCTCTCCTCTTGTGGTGTTTTAGCAGGTTTTATGTTCCCCACCCCTCTTTGGGGTCCTATATTTATTTATTTATTGTGTTTTTTTAAATTTTGTAAGCTGCCTCAAATATTTTAAATAGAGAGGCAGGGTAAAAATATTTTAAATAAATAAGTAAATAAATGCCTAAGTATGGTGCAGACTCCAGGTTTTAATTCTAGAGCACAATAAAACATATCCATTTTATCAAGATTAATTTGATTTGATCTACATTTATAAGAACTGAAATGAGCGTAGTTTTTAAAACAACTCACAGTATCCGCTTCAGATCCTTTCCCAGAGAAGTATGCAGACTAGGGAAAGTAAAACAATGATATTTGAAAATAAGAGTTGAAAAGTTCTTTTTTTCTCCACACATAATTGATGGCCTCACTGGTGCTATCTCAGACTAAGGAATGGCTTTTCTTGCTCTGCTTTAGGTATAAATGAAGCCATTAATATTAGGAGGACAATTCTTAAATGATGAATCCAGGTTTTGGCATGGGAAACATTTTTCACTAAATGTTGGTGTTCCTGCATTTCCCCAGGGGTAAATATTTTGACACTGTGCTACATTTCATATCAATTTTATATTTACACTGACAAGGGCTATAAAGGAACTGAATTTGCCTCTCATTCATCATGTGAGATCCTCTTTAGCACATGTGAATAATACAGCTTTCTCCTCGCAGGACTCAATCACCAAGCTGAGACATAGCCAAGTGGTTGCCAATGTGCCCTCCAGCACAGCTTGCTAGTAACACTGTGTTTCTGTCTTTCCCAGGACCACGCAGATATCGAGTGGAAGTTTGCACGGACAAAGCTGTGGATGAGTTACTTTGACGAAGGTGGCACTCTGCCACCTCCTTTTAATATCATCCCCAGTCCCAAGTCAATCTGGTACCTTTGCAAGTGGATCCACAAACAACTGTGCCCAGACAAGGACTCTGAGGATGAACATAAGAGGCATGAAAACCTAAAAACGTTCACGGTAAGGAGCCCTATGTTTTAGAATTTCATTTGCCCAGAGTACTATTTATTAATTCAGACTCACAGATTCCAGTAGTCCTTTGCTTTTAGTAGTGGGCTATCTCCATCACAAAGAGTCAGTGGGAAACATGACCGATGGCCATTTAATATACATTTTCCTATTTAATTCCAGGAACGGCATGCTGACAACCTGATTCAGAATCAACATTACCAGGTAAAGCCTCCAGTACAATAAGTCATTTATTGTCTATTTCTTGCTTGTGCTTGATTTGTGACACCTTGCTGGCTGCAAAGTACTGTAATATAGTTTGATGAGTGTACCAGTTCTAAGAGATTTCTGCTCATTGAGGAATAAATAAGCATAGCTTCT